CCAGCCTCTAAAATGTCCCAACTCCTGGTTTACCTTATCTGCCCATCTAGAAATAAGATTAGTATGCACAAACAAGCGCACACGTACACACCTGCGGGGACGCGGACAAAAACATATATACAAGCCCTCGAGTTAACCGACCCTCATTAGCTGATCCATTAGGGAAAACGAGAGTCAAGCAACTCGGGCCAAACGGGGGCGATACTCCCTATTGTTTGCCCCGAGGTAACTGCGTAATGCAATACACAGCCCCAAATCCCGCTAACTGCCCTACGCGTCTGCATGCGTACATGCGTGTCCACGTCTGCTGCTGGACTGGCCGCGCAAGAACGGTCAGGCGACCAGACGACCGGGCCGGTTCTGGGCATTCTGTTGGCGAGCGTCCCCTTTCAGAAAGCTGCGAACGGTGCCCGCCTGGAATGCGAACGCTACCACGGAGCCATCAGCGAGCAATATGTAGTGGTACGAGAAGCAGCATGGTCGAGCCCGATTGAAGCTAAACAATACATGCATGTCGAAAAAGTTAATAAACACACGGAGGGAAGTGACAATCTTAATCAACTGAAACACACATACCCCCATGCTGACCGGGTAAATTATCACACACCTAACCAGGCCTACATCCATTGGCCAAATGACGCATATGAATGCAAGCTGGCCTGAGAGATAAGTACAAGTATATATTGTCTCTTTTTCACCCGTCCGCTGTCTGCACACCTATCATATAGGATGGACGCAACATCTATGCACAATGTTTGTATGCATGCAGATATATACGAGAGTGGAGATACAGTTCAGCGAAAAAAAGCGCGAGGAAAAGGGGCGATGAAGAAAGGTACAATTAATTCAGCTTAAACCCTACAAGGTATTAATCTGTCTTGAAGGCAACGGAGGCGAACTGTCCATCAGTCGAATTATTTTCAATGCATGATAAATCGATGGGTAAACTATAGTTTGTATGAAAGAGGTAAGGATGGAACGATGAAGGGAGAGGAGGGGGATTAGGGAGATGGAGGGGATGAAGAAGGCGTCACACTACGCAGAATTAAAAACTCGTTCGCAGACGCAAAATTAAGGAATGTCTTGCGATCAAGGCTGATTAAGCCCCTCCCATATGCTCGAAACCTGCATTAACTTTCAATCATGAAAACCAATGGAACTAAAGCTTAAACTGTAGACTAATAAGGTAACCATATTTAAATACGAAATCAAGGAAATTTATTAAATAACACGTTGAATCTGATTCGAACGAGAGTGGCTTTCATTTTGACGAGTATCGACGAATGATAGTGATTTTTAAGCCCAATCGCTTTCTTAAATAACATTTGGGGGCAGGAAGGCTGCCAAAAAAAGAAATAATTAGAATTTAGTAGATAATCTATTATTTTGTCTAAAAAGTGTAATATATAAAATAGTTGTTACTTGGGATGAAGATAAACAGTAAAAATGGGCTGATGAAGGGCGTACGAACCAAAAATAGTCTTTTATAAAAACGGACAAAGAGAGACTAAAAACATGCCTCTGTGCGTATGTATATCGTATTTGTAAATGCGATGAACCGAGAGGTAGAAGATGAAGTTAAAGGTTCAGATCAGCCAGACTTCATCGGAGGTCAACATGATTTTGTTTTCAGTGTGCATCTGATCAAGACCCACTCGCACATCCTTTTTGGAAAAACCGGCGCCTTGTTGTACAACGTGATTGATCACCTGGGCAAACGACAAAAGTGGATAAAAGTAAGCTGATGTGAATGTGGTAATAAAAGCATTCGTTTCATAATAGGGATAGTTTACGAATTAAATAGCACTGAATGAAAATGAAATGGATACTGAAAATAGATTTTTTAAATCTACCTCTTGAACAGAAATCTGTTCAACTCGTCTTTCCTGAAACAGATGGCTAATTATTCGGTTCAGATGACTTTTTCTCTCGGCGTTTAGAGGGCGACCAACAGCCGTCAAGGTAGGGCTGGCAGGCTGACGCGAAGCATCCAGGTCACTAGCATTGTCGTGTGGAAAGCGGTAGGGGTCGGGCAAATCTTGCTCAATACCATCAACAGATGTAGACGGGGTCGTTCTGGCACTGAGGAACAAGGATGAGGAAAATATTTAAATAAACTAATGTCCAAACAACTCTCGATTTAGTTAACAAGTATATTAAGATTAATTGGGAGCTCAGGTATCTGAATTAAGGATGGGGCATAAATTAGCCCAATTTTAAAATGTGTTAATGAGAT